GGGCCTCTCCTCTGGATCCTCGGCCCAGCACCTCGAGGCTAAGCGGCCGAGTAGGACCTCCAGCAGGGAAGGGAAGGAGCCGAGGGGGTGGTGCTGGGGGGGGCGGTGGTGGAGGCATGTCACCTGTAAGGGAGGGAAAGGAGGGGGAGATGGTTAGTGGTGTGGAGGAGGGGTGGGGAGGGGGGAGGGTTGGGGAGGAAGGGGAGTGAGGGGGTGGGGAGGGAGGGAGGGAGGGAGGGAGGGAGGGAGAGGAGAGAGAGAGAGAGAATGATATATATATATATCATTTATATATATTATATATATATATATTATATATATTACATATATTATATATACATTATATTATATATACATTATATTACATATATATATTATATATGTTTCCTATATATAATATATATATTACATATACATTACATATATAAATCTATATTACATACATATTAGAGAAAGGGAAAGAGGGGAGGGACATGGGACACTGTTTTAAGATTTTTTAAAGATAATTGGAAAATTGGAAGAAAATATATTGTTTCTTAACTGATAAATATCAGTGAATGCCATCATAGAATAATGTAATGTAATGTAATAACACTCATCTGAAGAAGAATGAAGGAAAAAAAAAATACATTCATAAAATTATATAGATAGATAGAGGAGACGACAGGTAGAGAGATACATAGATATATAAATAGATAAGATAGATAGATAGATAGACATGACAGAAACCACAAGATCACATGCAAAAAATGGATAAAGATATGAACAAACGACAAAGAATACAAAGAATTCAAACAACAACAACACCTGTTGGTGGTGGAGACCACTCCCTCCCCACTCCCTCCTTCCTCCCTCCCTCCCCCACTCCCTTCCCCTTCCCCTTTCTCCCTCCCACTCCCTCCCTACCCCCCCCCCTACCTGGTAGAGCACGACGTGGTGATGGAGGCAAAGAATACAAAGAATTCAAACAAAAACAACACCTGGTGGTGGTGGAGACCACTCCCTCCCCACTCCCTCCCTCCCTCCCCCACTTCCTGCCCCTTCCCCTTTCTCCCTCCCCTCTCTCTCCCCTCCCTCCCTCCTTCCTCCCTTCCCTGCATCCCCCACTCCCTCCTCCTTCCCCTCCCTCCACTCCCCCCTTACCTGATAGAGCACGACGTGGTGGTGCTTTCCCTCCCTCCCTCGTTCCCCCACTCCCCCCCTACCCCTCCCTCCCTCCCTCCCCCTTACCCCCTACCTGGTAGAGCACGACGTGGTGGTGCTTCCCTTCCCTCCCTCCTTCCTCCCCACTCCCCCCCTGCTTGGTAAAGCACGACGTGGTGATGGAGGCCCCTCCCTCCCTCCCTACCTCCCTCCCCCACACCCTCCTCCTTCCCCCCCACTCCCCCCCTACCTGGTAGAGCACGACGTGGTGGTGCTTCCCCTCCCTCCCTCCTTCCCCCCCTGCTTAGTAGAGCACGACGTGGTGATGGAGGCCCCTCCCTCCCTCCCTCCCTCCCTCCTCCTTCCCCCCCACTCCCCCCCTACCTGATAGAGCACGGCGTGGTGGTGGAGGCCCCTCTCTCCCTCCCTTGCCCTCCCTCCCTCCTCCTTCCCCCCCACTCCCCCCCTACCTGGTAGAGCACGACGTGGTGGTGGACTCCCTCGAAGGGCGCGCGGCGGGTGAGCAGGTGCCAGGCGGTGACCCCGAGGGAGAACACGTCGCTGCGCCCGCACCCCATCCCCCCCCGGAGGACCTCGGGCGCTTGGTAGGGCACGGTGCCGATCACCTGGGGGAGGGGAGGGAAAGGGAGGGAGAAGGAGGGAGTGGGGGGAAGGAGAGGGAGGGAGGAAGGATGGGAGAGGGAGGGAGGGAGTGGGGGAGAGGGAGGGGGAGAGGGAGGGAGGAGGGGGAGGGGTTAAGAGGGGGAGGAAAGAGGGAGGGGGGAGGGAGAGGGAGGGGGAGGGGAGAGAGAAGGGGAGGGGTTGAGAGGTGAGGTGAGGGAAGGATAGGAGGGAGAGGAGGGAGGGAGGGAAAATGAAGGGTTATCAGTGGAGCTAAACGCTTTTCTGTTTATATATTCACGTGTGTACATACATACATATTATATATATTTATATATATTTATGTATGTATATATAATATATGCAGTATATGTAATATATATGTGTACACACACACACACACACACACACACACACACACACACACACACACACATACACATACACATACACATACACATACACATACACATACGCACACACACACACACACACACACACACACACACACACACACACACACACACACACACACACACACACACATACACATACACATACACATACACATACGCATACACATACACACACACACACACACACACACACACACACACACACACACACATACGCATACACACACACACACACACACACACACACACACATATATATATATATATGTGTGTGTGTGTGTATGTGAGTGTGTGGAACAGCAGCAAGTCGTAACAATGGAAATGCGACTGAATGTGCATGTGGTTTGTACGTGTGCATTTGCGTGTGTGCGCTTTTGCTTTTGTGTGTGCGGAAACATGTGCGTGTATGTGTACGTGTTTGCGATATTGCGATCATTTAAGTACGTTACCCTTCTTCAGTTTCTGTTTTCTCTTTATCAACATTATCGACAATATTGTTATAATCTTTATCATTATCACTTAATTATCACAATCATGATCACTGTCATTACTTCTAGACCCGTCAGCATCATCATCATCATCACTGTCACAATCATTATCATCTCTACTCTTTCAGTGTCATCAATTATCCTTATTATCCTTATCATCATCATCATAACCTCTCTCTCTTTCTTATTCTCTCTCTCTCTTTCTTATTCTCTCTCTCTCTCTTTTATTCTCTCTATCTATCTATCTATCTATCTATCTATCTATCTTATTCTCTCTCTCTCTTATTCTCTCTCTCTCGTTCACTCCCCCCCCCCCCCCCCAGCGACACTCACGGCCACCTCGTCCTGTCCGGGCCTGGAGCTGCAGCCGAAGTCGGAGAGGCGCAGGCGGCCGCCCGCGTCCAGCAGGGCGTTCGCGGGCTTCACGTCCCTGTGCACGATGCCGTGGGCGTGGAGATGCGTCAGCCCGCTCGCCAGCTCTCGGATGTACCTGGGGGAGGGAGGGAGGGAGGGAGGGAAGGTGGGCGGGGTGAGGGAGGGAGGGGGAAGGAGGGAGGGAGGGAGGGAGAGAAGGTGGGCGGGGTGAGGGAGGGTGGGTGAGGGAGGGAGGGAGGTGGGCGGGGTGTAGGAGGGAGGGAGGGTGAGTGAAGGAGGGAGGGAGGGAGGGGGGCGGGGTGAGGGAGGGAGGGGGGTGTGAGGGAGGGAGGGGGGCGGGGTGAGGGAGGGAGAGAGGGAGGGAGGGAGGTGGGCGGGGGGAAGGAGGGAGAAAAGTGGGCGTGGTTATAGGGAGGGGGAAAGTAGGCATGGTTAAAGGAAGGGGAAAGAGAGGAGGAGGAGAAGAAAGGGAAAACGATGGTCAGAAGACGTGGAAATCAGGGATATGGCAGACAGACAACAAATAACGTAATTAAATGAAATACAGAGTAAGTAAAAATAAATAAAAGGGGGAAAGGAAACGCAAATTACAATATATCACACATTATCTCTCCTTATCTCTCTCCTTCCTTCCTTCCTTCCTTCCCTCCCCCTCTCTCCCTCTCTTCCTCTCCTCTCTCTCTCTCCCTTCTCCCTTCCCTCTCCTTCCCTCCCATCTCTCACCCACCCTCCTTCCCCACTCCCTTTAACTCTCCCTTGTCTCCCTCCTCACCCTCCTTCCCTTCTTCTCTCCTTCTATCTCCCTTCTTCTTCTTCTCTTCTCTCTCACTTCTTCTCCTCCTCCTCCTCCTCCTCTACCTTGTCTCCCTTTTCTCCCTCTCTTTCCCTTTCCCTCTCTCACCGCACTTTCTCCCTTTTGTCCCTCTCTCTACCTTGTCTCCCTTTCCCTCTCTCTTACTTCTCTCCCTCTTCTCCCTCTCTCCCCCTTTCCCTCTCTCACCGCACTTTCTCCCTTTTGTCCCTCTCTCTAACTTCTCTCCCTCTCTCCCCCTTTCCCTCTCTCACCGCACTTTCTCCCTGGGCGCCAGCGCGACGCCCGTGTCATTGATGAGGGAGAGCAGCGTCCTCGGAGTGCACAGCTCGCTCACCACCCACGCCCACGCCCCTCCTCCCTCGTGGGCGTCCTCGCCGTTGTCGGAAAACGTGGGCGGCGTCAGGTCCTCGTCGGGGAGGCAGAACAGGGGCGCGACGTCTTCGGCGGGCAGGACCACGACCTGGCGGAGACGACGAAGAAGGGGGAGGTGATGGTGGAGGGGTGGGGGGAAGGGTTATTTTGAGGGGGATGGGGGGGAGGGGAGGTGATGGTGGATGGGAGGGAGCGGGAGGGGTGATGGTGGGGGGAGGGGTGGAGGTGATGGTGAGTGGGGGAGGGGAGGGGGGGGGGGGGGGGGGGGTGGAGGTGATGGAGAGAAGGTCGGGGAAGATAGTGGTGGAAAAGGAGGGGAAAAATGGAAGAGGAAGAGGAAGGAGGAGGAGGAGGAGAAAATGGCGAAGGCAGGAGGAGGAGCAGAAGGTGAAGGAGGAAGCAAAAGCTAAAAAGTAAGAGAAGGGGACAAAGAGGAGTAGGAAGAAGAGTAGGATAAAGAGAAGAAAGTGGAGGAGGAGGAGGAGGAGGAGGAGGAGGAGGAGGAGGAGGAAGAGCAGGTGGAGGTGAATGATGATGATTGTGATGACAATAAATGGTGGTTATGGTTACGATAAATTATAAAATAGGTGATGATGATGATGATGAATCACACAAACAAATACGTATAAATAAAGATAAATAAATAAATAAATAAATATATAAATAAATAAATATATAAATATATATATATAATATATATATATATATATATATATATATATAAATATACATATCTACATACATATATAGGTATAGGTAAGCCGAAGGCATTTTCGCATATACTGCTTCATCCTGATGCTACAGTAAAGTTGGGAAATCAGGGATTTCACGAAATCCCTAAAATTTTCAGTAAATTCATGAAATCACTCGGAGATTGTGAATTTACAGAAATATCCAGGAAATTCACGGACACGGTGGGCAGGACTGCATGATTAGGGAGTTACAACGAAAATATGCTTATATCACAACAAAGGCCTTGGAGCTCTTCAGATCACGGTTTGAGGAATGTCAGAAGGAAAAGACCAGTGACCAAGGGCGTTGTGGTGCGTCCTACCCTCAGCAAGGAATTTGCATCGAGGGGCCAGGTTGATTTGACTGACATGCAATCTCAAGCCACTCTCTAACTTTAAATGGATCATGGTGCACCAACACCATCTTACCAAATTCTGCATTCCTTGTCCTTTTCAAATTAAACGTGCTACAGAAGTTGCACGTTTGTGCCCCTGCTGGTCTTCCAGGTAATAACGGCTCAAGAGTTCACATGCAGGGTGATTACTGAGCTAAAAGAAATGTGGCCAAGTCTCACCAGGGCGCATGGGAAGCCCCGTCAACCAGAAAGTGAGGGTTCTGTGGAACGTGCGAATGGTGACGTTAAGGATATGTTAGATACCTGGCTTGCAGACAATAATTCACAAGACTGATCAGTTGGTATCAAGTTTGTTCAGTTTCAGAAAAGGTGCTCTCCATACTCTGCTATGTTTGGTTGTGACGTGACTTCTTCACCTCTGCCCACTGAAGTTGTCTCAAGGTTGGAGAGCGAGGATGATCTCATAGCAGTTATGTCAGGAGATGATAGAACAACAACAACAGGTTTTGCTGCAAGTCCTACTGGTTCAGTGACCACTAGCGAAGCGACTACAAGTGGCAATAATGATTTATTGACCACTGAAATGATTGAGGCACTTTCTGTTGATGCCATTTTTCAAACTCCTCAGATACTTCAAGATCACTAAGACCAAATTCCGAAACGCAGAGTGGAAGCATACAGAGGGTAGGTATCCCAAGCTGAGATAATGGTCCAATGTAGTCGCGTAGACTATAAATTTGGTGACCTGGTGACAATGTTGCTGTCCCAATTCCAGCTGTGGGTTGTGCTAGAGGAGATCCACGGAATATCCTGGGTGTTATTGTCAGCAGAGATTTGGACAATGACCAGTGTTAGATCGCTGTGAAGTCGGGTGTTCTAAAGGGTCAGTATTCTAGAAACCAGTTTGACCTCTGCCCCCGGCGTTTGCTGACAGAAGATGACGTAAATCAGGATACTGCAGTGTCACTTCGAGAAGCTGTTATTGCACAATCTGCATGTGGTGGTCAGGGATTCACTAGATGCAACTGTAGTGGTCTGAAGAAATGTTCAACAGATGTAAATGTTTCAAAGCTAAAGTGAAATGTAACTCTCGGTGCCATGGAAGTGTCAACTGTGCTAGTAAATGCTGATTGTTGAATAACCTTCAGGTATCCAGATAGCAATGTAATGGATAGTTATGATGTAGCAATACATGCATGCTGTGTATGATCTGTGCAAGTGTATGCTCTTATAGCTAAAATGAATGTTATAGATACCTGTTGTCCTGTTTTTATTAGGAACTAAATAATGGATTTTTTCAAATAGTTTTAATCCGGAAGACGCTCCTTGTGACAGCAGTTCTATGAATGTTATTAAGGGCATTATTGCAGGTCATAGTGCTAACCCTTGCTCATCCACACATCATCCACACATGTGAAAAAGATCGCAACAGTAATTTCATGAAATCCCTGACCTCCCAGTTCAGGGATTTCATGAATTTCCTGGATATTTCAGTAAATTCACGAAATCTCCGAGTGAAACAGTGACTTCATGAATTTACTGAAAATTTTAGGGATTTCATGAAATGCCTGATTTCACAACTTTACTATAACATATATATGTATATGAATATATGTATACATATATTTGTATATACATGAATAAATATATATATATAGATACATATATATATATATATATATATAAACATAGATACATATATATATATATATATATATAAATATAGATACATATATGTGTGTATACACACATTTATAGAAATATATATATATATATATATATATATATATATATATAAATATAGATACATATATGTGTGTATACACACATTTATAGAAATTATATATATATATATATATATATATATATATATATATATATATATATATATATATATAATATAATATATCGAAACCCCAAAACAGACCCGCCCGCTCCGCCCACCTGGTCTGGCGCCCACGTGACGGAGGCAAGGCCGGGCGTCTCTGTGGGCGTGACGACAGCGTAGGTGGAGGTAACATGGGCGTGCGGGCGGAGGGAGAGCAGGTTTGCCTCCTGTGTTGCAGACGCAGCCGCCCGACGCCCCTTCAACACCTTCACTGCAACGCGGGTGCCTGCAACGGGGAACATGGGCCGCGTGGGGAAGGGGGTAGTTCTTTCGAAAGGGGCTTTGGAAAGGGGGTAGTCCTTTTGAAAGTGGCTTTTGGAAAGGGGGTAGTTCTTTTGAAAGTGGCTTTGGAAAGGGGGTGGTCCTTTTGAAAGTGGCTTTTGGAAAGGGGGTAGTTCTTTTGAAGGTGGCTTTTGGAAAGGGGGTAGTTCTTTTGAAGGTGGCTTTTGGAAAGGGGGTAGTTCTTTCGAAAGTGGCTTTTGGAAAGGGGGTAGTTCTTTTGAAGATGGCTTTTGGAAAGGGGGTAGTTCTTTCGAAAGGGGCTTTGGAAAGGGGGTAGTCCTTTTGAAAGTGGCTTTTGGAAAGGGGGTAGTCCTTTTGAAAGTGGCTTTTGGAAAGGGGGTAGTCCTTTTGAAAGTGGCTTTTGGAAAGGGGGTAGTCCTTTTGAAAGTGGCTTTTGGAAAGGGGGTAGTTCTTTCGAAAGTGGCTTTTGGAAAGGGGGTAGTTCTTTCGAAAGTGGCTTTTGGAAAGGGGGTAGTTCTTTCGAAAGTGGCTTTTGGAAAGGGGGTAGTTCTTTTGAAGGTGGCTTTTGGAAAGGGGGTAGTTCTTTCGAAAGTGGCTTTTGGAAAGGGGGTAGTTCTTTTGAAGATGGCTTTTGGAAAGGGGGTAGTTCTTTCGAAAGTGGCTTTTGGAAAGGGGGTAGTTCTTTTGAAGATGGCTTTTGGAAAGGGGGTAGTTCTTTTGAAAGTGGCTTTGGAAAGGGGGTAGTTCTTTTGAAGGTGGCTTTTGGAAAGGGGGTAGTTCTTTTGAAAGTGGCTTTGGAAAGGGGGTAGTTCTTTTGAAGGTGGCTTTTGGAAAGGGGGTAGTTCTTTCGAAAGTGGCTTTTGGAAAGGGGGTAGTTCTTTTGAAAGTGGCTTTTGGAAAGGGGGTAGTCCTTTTGAAAGTGGCTTTTGGAAAGGGGGTAGTCCTTTTGAAAGTGGCTTTTGGAAAAGGGAGAGTCCTTTTGAAAGTGGCTTTTGGAAAGGGGGTAGTCCTTTTGAAAGTGGCTTTTGGAAAGGGGGTAGTTCTTTCGAAAGTGGCTTTTGGAAAGGGGTTAGTTCTTTCGAAAGTGGCTTTTGGAAAGGGGGTAGTTCTTTTGAAAGTGGCTTTTGGAAAGGGGGTAGTTCTTTCGAAAGTGGCTTTTGGAAAGGGGGTAGTTCTTTCGAAAGTGGCTTTTGGAAAGGGGGTAGTTCTTTCGAAAGTGGCTTTTGGAAAGGGGGTAGTTCTTTCGAAAGTGGCTTTTGGAAAGGGGTTAGTTCTTTCGAAAGTGGCTTTTGGGAAGGGGTTAGTTTTTTCGAAAGTGGCTTTTGGAAAGGGGGTAGTTCTTTCGAAAGTGGCTTTGGAAAGGGACAAAGGGGTAGTAGTTCTTTTGAAAGCAACTTTTTAAAATTGAGAACTCATAGATCACTTTCTTTTCTAATACGAAGATGCTCTCGGGAGTTTCCTGATAAATAACTGAATGCACAGTTTGTGGATGACATCTTTTCACTTCTAATAATTACGTTATAATTAGTTATCATCAGTAACCTGTAAAGTACATCAATATTTCCTTGATTTTAGGGGAAAGTTTCTAATCCATTATATTATTACCTGTATGGTTATTATAATTTTCATATCATAATAATCATTATATCAACAGCATTAGTAGTAGTAGTACTAATAAAAACAACAATAATGATAATTAAAACAATAACAACAATAATGGTAATAATAATGATAATAATAATAATAATAATAATAATAATAATAATAATAATAATAACAATAATAACAATAATAATAATAATAATAACAATAATAATAATAATAATAATAATAATAATAACAATAATAATAACAATACTACTACTACTAATAATAATAACAACAACAACGATAATGAAAATAATAATAATAATAATAATAATAATAATAATAATAATGATGATAACAATAATAATAATGAAAACAATGAAAATAATAATAATAACAATAATAATGGAAATCATAATAAAAATCAGATCTGTGTGCAACATCAACAACTACAACAACTACATCATCTAAACAACTACAAAATAACTAACTATAACTACTACAACAACTACCACTAACTACTAACTAACTAACTACTGCAACAACTACATCTAAATAACTATAAATACAAAACTAACCATAACTTTTAACTACTCCAACTACAACTACATCATCTTAACATCTACAACCACAAAAATAGCGCTAACTACAACAACAACAACTACGGAAAAACAACAAACACCAGAGTTAGAGTTGCAACACTGTTCCAACACTTACCAATTGGACTTCCAGAATGACGGAGTGAGTTTGCGAGAACAGATTAAGATAACAGCTTAAGATAACATATTAAGATAACACATTGAGATATCAGTTTAAGATAACAGTTTAAGATAAAATATTAAGATAACATATTACGATAACAGCTTAAAATAACATATTAAGATAACAGCTTAAGATAACAGATTGAGATAGCAGATTAAGACAACAGCTTAAGATAACAGCTTAGGATAACAGGTCAAGATAACA